TTGGAAGCCAATATCATTTGGAGTAATTCATGCTTCCAGTTGTTTCTCAACTTCCGTCTCGTCTCTCCTTTTTCCTCTTCCTCCAAACTTCTGTGTATTATAAGTCAGTAACAAGTAGCTCAATCATTTCCCCTGGGCTTTTTGAGCTTTTGAAAGCTGGTGAAAAATAAATCAGAGAATTCTTCATGAAGATGTTAGTTTATTTATTGTCACAGGAGGTGAGAAGCCAAGACAGAGCTACATGGTCTCCTAAGTGTCCCATGGCCAAGGCTCGCCTTGTGCAAAAGCCAGGCCCCATGATTCCTAGTCAAGGCCCTCTCTGATCTATTCATAGAATTATGCTTTTCAGGAACCACGTCTTTTATGGAAAAGAGAAAAAATCCAAAGCTTGGTTGGCAATTCAAGGAGAGGTGGTCACAGACTGAACGTTTAGATACGCGTCGATAGTAGCTGACTAAGCTGTGACAGCTCAGATGAAGGAGCCCTGTGGCACAGCGATTTACAGTGCTTATGTTACCTTTCCTTTTCCATGTAAGCTACTTTATTTTGTGATAGGGAGTCCTGGTGGGGCACTGGGGACCTGCTCATCTGCTAGCTGGAAGGTCAGAGGTTCGAACCCACCAGCCGCTCCGTGGGAGGAAGAACGGCTTCCCTGAAGATGGCAACCTTGGGATCTCTCTGGGGCAGTTCTGTTTTGTCCTGCAGGGTCACCAGGAGTCGGGATCAACCTGGCAACTGGCTTACTTTTCTGATATTAGTTGCTTACAGTTGGAGTGCACCACTGGATTGTGCTGATGTCTTTGCAGTTAACATTTAGCTTCATGTGCTTCATGTTGTTTCTGCCCTCCTTTCAATCGCAGGGGACAATATACTCGGAGACTGCTTTTGCGAACTACGGGGATCTTGCAGAGGAATTGTTTGGGAACTATCACCATATCCCAGCCAAACGACTGGGAATTCCTGAGGAGGTAATGTACATTTCTAAGGTCGATGAAAATGACTGCTTTATCTTGGGAATTTCCAACATTTGGGGCCCTTTTGATTTGGTCTGGCTGGCTGACATAGGATGATGCCCACTTCCTCCATGCCATGCCCTCTCTGCCTGCTGTCTGCCTCAAGAACATCCTGGTTATATTTGGAATTCGAGCAGCGGTCTCTACTCCCAAGTGAACGCAGTGTGAAATACGAACACTGAACACCGTGTGCCATTGTGTCATTGCCCCTTTCAAGTAAATGAGTACCTGGCCCTTGCAGGTACACAAGACCCTCAGTAAGTCAGATGATTAACTTTATGAAGGTCTACACAAGATTTCAGTAAGGAAACAAGATAGAAGTATGTAAAGCCGATAGCTTTTTAAAATTCCAACAATATCAGCCTTGAAATGTAATTTCTTTAAAAAAATCATTTTACTGGGGACTCGCACAACTCTCATCACAATCCATACATCCATCTATTGTGTCAAGCACATTTGCACATTTGTTGCCATCATCATTCTCAAAACATTTGCTTTCTGCTTGAGCCCTTAATTTTTTTTAAAGGGATATTTTCCCACAATAGTAGTAAAAACTAAAATAGACAGGAATAAAGCCAAACCCAACCCAA